AATTTTCTGGTATATATTATCCTACTATTACACAAATATTATGGTATATTTATGGAATTTCTGTTGTATTTGGTAAGTATAAAACTAATCCAACTAATGCACCGGCCATTAATGAAATGATTACAAAATTTAAAAAGTATTTTTTTTTCTAAACCTCAAGTTTATTTAATTTCTACTATACTTAACCCATCTTTAAAATTAAGAGGTGCAAAGGGACTTGTTCGTAAAATTTATGAGAATTTAGCAATTCAAGAAAATGAACAACCATCTCTCGAAGACTGCCAAGCTAACATATATTCTTATGTTAGATCAATATTTGATAAATATAAATCTATGGAAACAACAGGTGGTGAAACTGCTCCTTCTACTTCTAAGTCTAGATTAGAAGTTCTATGGGAAAATATGGATGATATAACAGGTTTTGATTCCTCTATTGATGATGAACTTGATTCTTATCTTAATCAAGGATTGTAAAGTATTAAAGACGAAGAAGGCAACGAACAACTTTTGGCATGGTGGAGGGAGCGTGGCAAGACTTTTCCAACACTTTCAATAATGGCCTGAGATATCCTTGATATTCAAGCATCATCAGTAGCATCGGAGAGTGCTTTTAGCGTGGCAAGATTTCAAATCGAAGATCATAGACATTCATTAGCGGAGGACAGCCTAGAGATTTCCGAATTATTCAAATATTGGATTAATTCAGAAAGAAGAAATCTTGATTTTGAAAAATTAACCACTAGGGAAGAAGAAGAATATGATGAGATACTTAACACTGGGAGCGATGACGGCATGGAACTCATGGAACATCAATCAACATTGCCAATTCTAGAACAATGTTCGAGAGAAATTATAAATAAGTTACAACGAAATTATATAGGAGCTTACAAATATTAGTATGATAATTTGTAATTGGCTACTAAGAGGCCTAGTTCAAACAAAACCCTTCCTAGAAGGTGGCTGCATAGATTAGGTGCTCTTCAAAAGAATTATATTTGTATGTGAGATTTGAAAGTTCTATTAATTAAATAAAAGGCTCTAAGCGTTGAATTTTTTTTTTTATGAATTGTCTTACACTCTTACTTAGTTACTTAATGACTTGAAATTATATTAAATAAATTATAACTCTATTATAAATTTATAATTACTAGAATATTTCATTACAAGTCTTTTGTTTTAATATTTTATAATTCTTTACTTAGTTTTCTAATATCCGTTTAATTTTTAAGTTTATTAAATAAGTAAAAAAACTAGCTGTTGCAAACTTTAAAAACTTAGTCATTGTCAAAAGAATAGTCGTTGCCAAACTCAATGCTTAAATAATTTTTTTTAAAACGACACTTGAGGCCCGCGAACCCGTCTCGTCCCGTCCCATCCCGTTTGTTAGCGGGATGGGATGGACCTACCGTTTCGTTCCGTTTGTCCCGTCCCGTTTTGTCCCATCCCATCGCGCCACCATCCCGGCTAAATATCGTCCCGTCCCGTTAATTTTATCCCGTCCCGTCCCGTTGGACAACCATAGTTATAGGGAAGATTCTTGTGAGGAGGAAATTTCAAAAAATAAAATAAAATTTTGATTATGTGGTTATTATAAGTTCTTTATTTTAGGTGGAGACAATGGCATTAATGAGATCCAGTTCACGCGTTATGCATTTCTCATATATTCAATATTCTTATACATTGTTCATTTGAGTTCTTAAATGAACAAGGTATAAAAAAATTGAAGATAGTTATATTGGTTTGTAAGAAAAAACTTTTGCTTTCTGGAATTATATCAAAACATTTTTCTTAAACTAAAAAAAATAACCAGAGGTATGTCTTTATTAAATTAGAACAAACAAACACAATTCTCCAAAAACATTTTCTGCAAAAAAAAATAAAAAAAATAAAAAATCACACAACTTCCACTAAATTGTTTTCCTAAAGACTTTACAAATTACAATTTAAGTGTCATCTGGTTCACGTACTAATTAGACATATAATGCAAGGATTTCATGATGTGAATAATTACAAATGGATGTTATGAGATGAATAATAATACAAAAAATATTATGTAACTAATACATACTTTAAGAGTATTTTTATCTTTAAATACTTTTAATACACGTTCTTCTTATTAGCATAAAAATATACACAAATTTTTAATAATTTATTAATGGTCATTATGCTAATAGTACTGACAAGTGACAACTAAATGGTGCATCAATTATACAAAAAATATTTTTCTATACCAACCAACATTGCAATTATGTAAGACTTATATTTTTAACCTCTTCAACTAAACATTATAAGTATTATTTTATGAGGAATTTTCTACCAAGATACTTTCCTTCCAAAGAACCCATGATGCAAATTGCAATGGTGGAGAAATTATCCTCAATTGGGGTGGGGTCCCACTGAAGTGATCCAAAATTTGGATGGGGCTGTAAAAGTAATTTGGAAGTAGTTGAAGTCTTGAAGTGGAGTGGAGAGACAATAAATGGCTTTCAATGAACATTAAATTCAGAAGACTTATAATAGCATGTTGGGCCAAAATTATAAAATTCACTTATTTTAAAAAGTAATTTTCTAAAAAATACTTTTTAAAAAAATAATTTGAAAAATACTTTTAAGTAGTAATTAGTTTTTGACCAAACCTTTACAAAATGCTTTTAAGTATATTTTTCTCAAAAGTGGTTCTCAGAAAAATAATTTTGGAGAATTTTTTTTTTCTGATTCTCAAAAACTATTTTTGTATTTTTTTTAAATTTTGTTTTTAAAAAAATCTTGATCAAATACCTTAATTTTTAAAAAAAATAGACTTTTGAGCCAAAAATAAGCGACCAAACATCCTATTACTCAGACATTTTATTACAGTTAAAAGCAATTGAATTATTGAGGAAAAGTCGAGTATAATGTGTGTGTGGCCGACACCAAATCATATCCTCTTATTGATTTTGATCAGTCACGTTATGGCCCACTAGAAGAGTGGGGGCCTGGGTCCCATGAGAGCTTGCCATGCTTTCCAAGAAAATATCTTCACTATCCTCCAACATGTTAACTAAATTTCAACTTTAGTCCCTATAGTTTTGTTAAAATTTCAATTTCATGCTTTTGTTTTCTTTTGGTCTTAAAACAAGGAACTTTATAGCCTGTTTGGTCAAGCTTATCAGAATGCCACAAGTGTATTATTTTTTTTTAAAAAGATACTTTTTTTTCTCAATTTGAAATGTTTGGCCAAGTTTTTTTTTGGAAAAAAAAGTGCTTTTAGCTAGAAGCAAAAACAGTTTTGAAGAAGTAAAAAAAAATAGCTTCTCCCAGAAGCAGAAGCAGAAACAGTTTTGACTTTTCTTCCTATCAAAAATACCCTTTACAAAATATTATATATACCAAAATAACCTTACTTAGTTTAAACTATTAAGTAATATAAAATGACAATTGGGATGAACTTTCATATTTATTGGATGATTTTTGATATATTTAAATTATCTTGAAAAAATAAAGTACTTTTCAATTTTATTTTTATATTTTACTTAAATAAAATAAAAAACTTAATCATTATCTTTAATAATAAAAATTTGTAATTATTTATCTATTTATACAATATTAACTATTAAGCAAATCTCTTCATGTCCTTATTTGTAATTTGACACATAAAAATACTTTTTGAAAAACTTGGTCAAACACAAATTATTGTTCAAAAGTTCTTTTCAAATTGATTAGCCAAATACAAAATGATTTTCTCCAAAAGTACTTTTGAAAAAAATATTTCTCAAAATAAGCTGATTTTTCCAGCTTGTCCAAACAGGCTATTAATATTATTGAACTATAGAAGTTATATATATNGCAAAGAAATAATAGGAAAAATGAGTTAGACGAAGGGGATGTTTTGTATTAACCGAAATATTTTCTAATTTTTTTATACTTAGTTGGATTAAATATTTTAAAAGATATTTTCCACATGACTTTCCTACCAAAAGAAGGAAAAATATTTTTCAAAACTCTTTTTCAACCTTTCTCACCCTATTCCTTGCTCCACCCCACCCCCACCCCTAACCTCGCCATCGCCATCTCAACTCCTATACCCTGACCTATTATTCTCCCCCCACCCCACCCCTTTCCCATTTTGGTCTTTCATAATATTTGTCTAAATTATACTCCTATAATTTTTTAAAAATATTTTTTGTTATCTAACCAAACACCATTAAAAAATTTCAAACCTTCTTTTTCTTTTAAAAGTAAGTAATAACATCATTAAAATGCACTAATTAATACATTATCAATTTGAAAAAGAAATAAGTTATTACATTTTTTAAGACTAGACCTGAGTACGGACTGTGGTTACAGAGGTAAATGGTTTATAGTACTCCTTACTAATTATTAGTTTGAGAATAAGGTTGATATAATTTTTGACAAGAACTCAATTGAAATATAAACGAAATATCAGGGATGAAAATGCATTTTTGCATTCTGAAGTGTTATACCGAATTGGGAAACCTCACTATTTATTGGTCGGTGTATCAATAATGAAACTCAACGAAAAGCTACCTCTATATATACCAACTCCATAATATGAACCTCCTCACTATTCAAACCAATCTCCAACACATAAAAACACAGTTACTTCTTCTTCACAAGAAAATATCATGAATTTCCTCTCATCTTTGGCTAAGAGCGCCGGCGGCCAATCCGCCGACGAGCCCAAGAAAACCGCCGGCGAGGAAGCTTCAACTACTGACCTTTTTTCCAGTGCAAAAGTGTTAGCTGAAGCAGCTCAAAGTCAATTCAACAAAGATTCCGGCAAGGTCGATAACAAAAAGGTGGCTGAAGCTGCTGCTGATGTTCTTGACGCTGCACAGAAATATGGTAAATTAGATGAAACTCAAGGTGTTGGACAGTATGTTGAAAAAGCTGAAACTTATCTCCACCAGTACGGTTCTGCTAACCCCTCCACCACCACCGATGCCGCCGCTGCAAAGCCTCCGGCAGCCGCACCAGATACCGAAGAAACAAAGGCACCGGCACCGGCTCCGGCCGCAGCAGATACTGAAGAAACAAAGCCACCGGAACCGGCAGGTGAAGATAATGTTAATTACAGTAGTGCTTTTTCAGTCACAATATATGTATTTGACTGGCCACGAAGTTTGAGAAAGAACTAAATATTTTTTGAAAAAAATCTAGAATTAGTCATAGATAGTGAATTATATAGATGGATCATTTTGAAGTTAAATTGTTACCCCTAGTGGCAATTTATATGGCACTTTTTGAGTGTTAAATATTTTAATTTTATCGTGAATCTAAACACCCAATCTTTTAACTTATTAAAATAAAATTTACATATTTAAAATTTACGTTAAAATTTATTATAAATAACAACAATTAACATTCAATATATTTAAAGACATATAAGAAATGATGTGAAAGAATAATTTATTTGTCTCTCAAAATTAGAACAATGCCATATAAATTAGTACCCACATAAACTAGGACGTAGAGAGTACCAATATAAAAAAGTGTTTTCTTGGAGCGATTAGGAGGGAAATAATGTTATAAATTAGGACGGAGGAAGTACTATCTGTTTCAATGGTCATATAGTTTATTTAAGATTAAAAAATAGATGAGAGACTTTGAAAAATTATAATTAAGTACTATACTATAACATTTATACTGCCAGATGACTTAAAATTTGTGATATTAAATATTTATAATATGTGTGGTAATAAAATTTTATTATTAAGATTAAAATAAGATTTGTATGTATATTCTTGGACAGATACCGAAGAACCAAAGGCACCGGCACCTGCACCGGCACCGGCACAGGCACCGGCAGAGGAAGAAAAGGGAGAAGGGTATGGGCAATACGTGAAAATGGCAGAAGGATTTCTGAAACCAGGAGATGGTGAATCGGCAAAAGCATCTGAAGGAGGATCAGGACCAGATTATCTTAAGTTGGCCGGTGACTTCTTAGGCAAGAAGTGATTAGTTTAATCATTTTTTTTTTTTTTTTTTTAAATTATGGCTGTTATATTCCAAGTTTCTTTTCTTTCACTTTCTTTGCCACTGTTCAGTGTTCATTACCGGCGGCGAATTTCTCTAGTCGCCGGAGCTGGTTTTTACTTGGCATATGTAATTTGTGTGTATGTTTTTTTCCAGTATGATTTTTAGGGTGTAATGGAATTTGTGTTGTATGGATAAAGTGTGAACTTTTATGATGTTATTGGTGTATACGGTGCAGTGTGATTCTTATATTCGGCTTCCTTTTATTTTTTATATACAATACAAAAAGAAGTAATATAAAGTTGTAATTGTTATAAAATAAAGACTGTAAAATAAAGACAAGTATAGAGAGAAACTGATATATTATTCTGACTTTAAACTTCTGTACATAATGAACTGAATTCTCCTCTATTTATAGAAGAAAGGAAGCTGCTGTGTAAGCTGCTACTGCAAGCTGCTGCTGCAAGCTGCTGCTTTAAATTGTTGTACCAGATATAGATAATCTTCTATCATGGATAATATTTATCCATAAAGGAGTACCGAAAGGATAAGCTTCTTCAGGAGGCTTATTTCCAATAGAGTACTAAATAGATAAACATATTTATGGCGGAGTCTCATATGGATAAACTTTTTCAGGAAGATTATTTACAACGGAGTACTAAATGAACATCCATAATATAATATATTCATAACACTCCCCCTTGGATGTTCATTAAAAGATAATGTGCCTCGTTAAAACCTTACTAGGAAAAATCCCGTGGGAAAAATTCTAGTGAAGGAAAAAGAGTACACATATTTAGTAATACGCATTGCTAACTGCCTCATTAAAAACCTTATAAGGAAAACTCTGTGGGAAAAAACCTTAATAAGGAAAAAAAAATACATCGCGTATTTTACTCCCCCTGATGAAAACCTTGTTTCAAATATTTAAATCTCCGCATTTCAATCTTGTATACCATCTTCTCAAAAGTTGAAGTTGGTAAAGATTTGGTGAATAAATCTGCCAGATTGTCACTTGAACGGATTTGTTGCACATCAATGTCACTATTTTTCTGAAGATCGTGTGTGTAGAATAATTTTGGTGAAATGTGCTTCGTTCTATCTCCTTTTATAAATC